TTCCCAACAAAATCTTTAAGAGAAAAAAAAAAAAAAAAAAAAAAAAAAAGAAAAAAAAAAAAGAAACCCTCACCGGGAAGGAGACTGCTGCGGGCGGACCGAGACTCACCAAGGGGAAGAGGGAGGGTGGTAGGCGGGTTACGGGGTTGGACTATTTCTTCATACACATGCCCAGTGTTGCACCAGTAACCGATGATAAAATACTCCACAGGGTACTCACTGAGAGCAAGGCTTCATTTCCACGTGTCCAATAAAAAAAAAAAAACACTCACAGAGGTACCTTATGTGTAATTCACTCTCATTGACTGAAATCTTGCACCGTGAAGTGTACTATCCCGCCTTACTGCCCTGAACTTTAGAAAAACGAGGCACAGAAACGAGTAGGATGTGTAAACTAAACGGCATAAATATTAATGTGATCAAATGTCGATTAAAAAAGGGAGAGGAAACAGTCCAAAAAGCTACAACACTCTTGGGAACCACCATTAAACTTTTAGAAGGAGTCAAAATAATGACACCCATTGGTGTTAAAAACTATATTTTTGTGGCGGTTAATATTATCGCCAGAAAAATTTTAAAAAGTACACAAAATTAATGTAAAAATCACACAGATTGCACTCTGCAACAGAATAAAAAGTCAACACTGGCAGTGTTTTTTTTTTTATACTTTCCTACAGTATTCATTTTACAAAAAAATAAATAACTGATTGTGAATATAAATGGACAATACGCTAAGATTACCACTGTTACAGTTTACATCCACTAGTCCAACTGCTTACAATCTAGAAAAATAAAGATCACACAGAACTCACAGACTTATTAAGTTTTTAAATTAGGTTTAGTAATTTCGATATATTACTGTTGATCTTTATTTAATGGCCACACAGGGAAATTGCTGGAACCTCTGGTGTTGTTCTTCAGTGGCTTAGAACCAAAACTTTTATGTGACCCTCTGGTGTACAGCAGGGCTCAAAACTTGGACCTGCCTTTTTCTATTTCTACATCTGTCCCTTTGATCACTGCTTAAAAAAAATTGTCTGTGTTAAATAATTTATGTGACAGCTGGTGAGTCCAACAACCAACAAACAAAGGATAGCAGAGGAACAACTTTCAACAGATTTCAACATAGACTTGAATAGATGTCATTACTGGACATAAAGACATACAGAATACAAGAAAACCCATTTGAAATAGGAATTTTATCAAAAACAGGCAACTAAGAGGGATAACAATAACATTTTTAATTACTTGTCTCAATAGGACTCTATTCTACTTCCTTTTGTTCAGTGTGAGAGACATTTGTAGATAGACACTTCTCAGAAAGGCAGATTTTGTCTTAAATAATAAACACATAATTATGACAGGGCATTCTAGAGGTGACAAGCATTGTCTAAAGTGAAGTTGAGTGGTTTTAAAATGAGCTGTGGCCAGTAGCTTTAAACATTAGTCAAACACTTCTTGTGTGATTTAAGTTAGAAAATCCTGTTTAAAGATCTGCCCTACAAAAGGAGAATACATTAA